CTCGTGAATAAGGATGAAAATATCTGATGATGTGACTCCCAGGGAAGCAATTATGGTTAACCCCTCATTTGTTTGGCATTTTCAAGTATTGAACTGTCCCACAGAACTGCATTCTCCTGACAACTCAGACTTTCCTATTTATGTGCCTTGAATGTTTTCAACCATGCTTGGTGGAAATACTTCTGAAATTGGTTATTCAGTTATCCTGCCTTCTTGAACAGAAGCTGCAAGAAATAACATTTCTTTAGATGCCTTTCTTTGACTGCAAGTCTGAGAAGACTTGATTAAAAGAGGTTTAGGTAGTTAGGACTTGCAGTGGTCTCACATAACAAGGAATCCAGAGCTGGGCATTCCAGGGCTGAGGAATTCAATAGCTCAGTGATGTCAGCCTGACTTTCCCCTCACGGTCACAAGGTGGATACACAGCTCCAAGCCTCAGGATCTCACATGACAAGATCTAAGCAAGAATGAAATGGGGGCTTCTCCTTATACATGTCTTTGCTCAGGAAAATATTTCTCAGAAGACCCCTAGCCAACTTCCCCTTGGGTCTCATTGGCAGGACTGAGTCACATTTCCATGCCTTGGTCTTATGGAAGGCTAGAGAGTGAATACCCAGCACTTTAGGACTCTGAAGTGGGAGGAGGGCTCTACCCATAAAAAAGAAGGATGGAAGGGCACCTGCGTGGCTCAGTTGGTTAAGTGCCCGACTCTGGATTTGGGCTCAGGTCATGATCTCAGGGTCATGAGATCAAGCCCTGCATTGAGCTCTGCACTGGGTGTGGAGCCTGCTTAAGATTTTCCCTCTCTTCCTCTCCCTCTGTCCCTCCCTCCTCCCTTCCTTTTGTTAAAAAAAAAAAAAAAAGAGTGGAGAATAGATGGCTCTTGGTAGGGAACCAAGAGTGTCTGCCAGGTTACTGAGATTGGGAGTGAACATTACTTACAGTATGGTAGTAGCTTGAGGGATGGTTGGGCTTTTCGTTCTATGCTGAATGGCCCCAGACTGGGATTATTTTTGATTTCCTAAGTCTGCTTTTATCTATTATTCTCTCTCCTTCCTCTGTGCCAGACTGCTAGTTATCATTACTTACTGTTCATGTACCTTGTCCTAATCTTGCCATAATTAGATTTTTTTTTTTTCTGGAAAGATCCTGTGATCAAACTTGTGAGAACTCTGCCCGAAATGTTCTGAGTGAGTATCTGACAGCTGTCCTGTGTGTCACCTACATGATGTGGCATTGCTTTTGGCTGTTGGGGGCCATTTTTCCATCGTGAGGTCTTTGGAGAAGTGACAAATTTCTAGAGAGTCTTATGAATTTAGATACATCTCTAATGAAGTCGTCTTACGGTGAAAGGATGAGCATTTGGGGACAGTTAAGCTTGTTTACTAGAGAAAGCAAAACTGCATCTGTCCATCCGAATCCCAGCGTGGTGTAGAGAGAGGCAGCGAAGTTTATTGGTCCATATTCGGCTCCTTCTCAAAGCCGCATGACTGCCAGTTGCCTGGAGAACAAGCACGAGAGCTCTGGGATATGACCCGTGGGACTCCTCCCTGCAGCGACTGTCCAGCACGGGGCAAGCTGGTGCAGAGTTTCATGATCCCCACCCTCCGCCAGGGCAGCAGGGCCCTGTGAGGGAATGCTGTGAAATGCCCAGGTCGTACAGAATCGCAAGTGTTTTGGCAGGGACTTGTTTCAACAAGTTCTTGAAGAAAGTAATACTTTGGCAGTGGTTATTGAAATTATACTGAACAAGTGAGGACCATCCCTTCCATGGACGGAGAGCTGACCAAAATTCAGTCTCTGTATACAGGAAGAAGGAAATAGGAAGCAGTTGTCAAAATAGTACTGACGATGAGTAACTGAACCAAATGAAATGATTCTCCTCTGGGAATCAAACTGGAGCTGGTAGGTGGGTTGTGTTCGAAGGAATCCAATGGTTAAAATGTTCTGTTTTGATCTAGCTGAAGCTGTGAGCCCAAATGGCTTAGAACCCCGGGAGTACCTTCAGAGCAAGTTAGCTGTTTAAAGGCCTGCGGTCTCACTTTACTTTGTGTCAGAAACTCATGAGTGAGGGGCGCCAGGCTGGTTCGGTCAGCAGAGCATGTGGCTCTTGATCTCAGGGTTGGGTTTGAGCCCCATGTTGGGTGTGGAGATTACTTAAAAATAAAACCTTAAAAAAAAAAATCACGAGTTAGCTTTATAGGCAAACATTAAGTGGCAGAAACATTTGGGGATAAGGAAAACAAGCTTTGTTTTTTTTTTTTTTTTAATTCTGACTAATTTGTACCATTCAAATCATTCTTACAAGAAAAATGCAAAGTATTTCTCATAAACATTTTAGTTATTAACTCTCTCTTATGCAGAACATTTTTTAAAGAATATCCTTTTATTGACTGCTGACTGATACAGATAGGATATCGTTTAGTTAAGTTGAATAAGATATTTATATTTTTTGAATTTTATTTTCTCATATGTAGATTACCAACTTTATTTCTCAAGTACTCTGACCATTCCTGCTTTGCTGATCATCCAGCTACTGTGTTCAAATTTTAATATTGGCTTCAACTATACTTTTTTAGAAAAAGCTCCATGGAGAAATAATCATGCAATCAATGTTTTTCTGGGATCACAGTACATCTCAGCATGTAGCTGGCTGGCAGTTTTTTTTCTTTTAATCAGAACAATTTACTTGCCTGGGTAAATAAATTTACATTCACATTTTGAATTGTTTCTGATCTTAATTGGGCATTTAGGGGGTCAAAGTGGATGGTTCAGATCTAGGTGGGAAAATCATTTTTCAGCATGTCAAAATACCAGCAAGTCATTTTCTACAAAACAAAATAACAGGAACAAAAAATATAATGTATTCCAAAGCCCAGAAAAAGCTGGTAGCTTGACAGTCATGAAGACTGTGGTATTCTCTGTATTACTTTGATCCTGAATGTGACTATGCTTACTTTAAATTGGCAAATTATTGCCACCGAATTCTATTATTCAAAATGACTGCATTTTTGAAGGGAAGCTTACATGTTAAATACCTTTCACCAGTGCTGTTGATGACTGCTCTGGGGGTTAATGTGAATCTTGTTTTATATTTGTATATTTAACATGTAATATAAACAATTGAAGTGAAATTAAACTGTATGTGAATGGGCATTTTTTCTAAAATTAGAGGAGATGCAGTGAGTAATCAGAAAATATATAAACTTAATTTTAGAAATATATTTATTTCTAAATGACCGAAGACGTTACAAATCATGCTTTGTAATGTAAAGGGATTCAAAAGGGTTTTCTGAATTGGATTATTTCTAATTTGAGTCAGTCTGTTTTTCATATTTCGTATTATTCCTGCATGTTACTAAATCTCTGCTTTGGCACAAATAGGCATGTGCTGAAACTGCATTGAGGCACGTGGAAAATGTGACTTATGAGTGGATATTCACAGTCTTCCCGCTTTTTGGGGGTTCTGGTGATTCATATGCAGAAACCCCCTGCAGCACTGAGTCAGAGTCAGATAGACCCAGTGGCCTAAAGAGGGCCTGCCACTGGACAGTTTTTCTGTTTTTGTTTTTTTGGGTTTTTTTAAATTTTGCTGCGAATTGACTTTTCCTTCATGAAATCATTTTGGATGCTCAGAGGGCCTAGCCCAAGTCAAATGTCACCCTACACTGGCATGGTGACAAATACACAGCTAGCTAGTGTGTATTTTCATGTATTTGCCTCATGTAGCCAAAAAGGTGAATCTTGTACATTCTTCACAGTAGAGATTTTAGCTTCCTAAACTGTAATGATAACACGATGAATGTGTTGTGAGCAGGAGGCAATGGGGCCCAATAGAAGGAGCTCAGGATTTACACCATGGGTCTAGATTTGAACCCTGCCTCCACTAGCTAAGGCTCGGGCAAGTTAATCAACCTCTTGGAGCCTCAAGTTTGTTCGTCTGTTAAATGCACATGGTAAAAATAATGTCTGCTTCATGGAATTATAAGTCTCAAATTAGATAAAATATGTAAAAGTACTCTGTGAAGCTAAGAAATTCTATACACATTTTTTTCTCATTATTATGTTTTCCCAAGTTAATGTGCCTGTTCTTTGCCCTGGAAGTGATAACATCCACACAAATATACAATATACAATATATGCCTTGAAGAATGTGCTATTGAAACAGTCTGTGTTTATAGTGTCAGTTTGCCTCAAACTAAAAAGAAGGAGTCATTTTATTTTTAAGAATTGAGTGAAAGGACCCCAAAATGAACAGATACAAGCACATAATACTTGTCAGCAGCCAACACTGGAATCAGGCTGCACCCTCGAAGTAGATATAATGCAGTGTTCAGATGAGTCCCTGTTGCGTTCCATTAAGGAGCCCCCACTGGTTTAGGAACTATATGTGGTAACACATCTGGAGAAGCTTCAAAGTGCTGAGTATCAGAATTCACTGCTTGATTGGAAGTAAAGTGATAACTTTATTTTTGCTGGTGGTCCAGTGGCTGTATCCTATAAAGTAGAAAGATTATCACCTGCTCTCTTGCTCCCCATTGCAAATCCATTCTTTAAGGACAGCCTCCATCCCACCTCCTCCATCAAATGCTGGATGAAGAAGGTACTGCCCAACCTTTGAAGAGTTTATGACTTAAAAGAGATTTAAAACAGATAATCAACTAACTTCTCTATGGAATCCTGGACAAAGTAATTGCCATGGGAGGCGTTCACATGGCTGGGAGTGCCCAGCTTCTGTGAACACTTCATAGCATCTGTCAGCACCCACGCATCATGCCTCATATTGGTTAAATTTATTTATGTGTGATTTTCATTTATGTACCTAGATTGTAAACTCCTGGAAGGCAGGGAAGACGCCTTGGTATTTATCGTTCCCTCTCTCCATACCTTTTACCTAAGCCTCAAACAGTTTTTGTGGTTCAGATAGAGTCTGTACCCAACATTCAGGTTTAACCCATACATTTAAGCCCTAACTTGCTTCTTTTCTTTTGTCTTTGCAGTTGACCTGCCCCTGTTTTTCCCTCGAGACCAGCCAACTCTCACATTCCAGTCTGTCTATCACTTTACCAACAGTGGACAGCTTTATTCCCAGGCCCAAAAAAATTATCCATACAGCCCCAGATGGGATGGAAATGAGATGGCCAAAAGAGCAAAGTAAGTGAATCCACTGTGTTTCCTACAAATAGGAGCACTTCCTTTCTCTAGTCCAGGGGTTGGCAAGCTACTGCCGGCAGGCTAAAGCCTGTCCTGTGCCTGTTTTTGTAAATAAAGTTTTACTGAAACACAGCCATGCCCATTTCTTTACTTATTTTGTATGGCTGCTTCCATGCTACCATGGCAGAGTGAGAAATTGCAACAGATCACACATGACCTACAGAGCCAAAAATATTTGCTGTTTGGCCCTTTACAGAAAAAGTTTGCCAACCCCTTATCTAGACTCATCAGTTAGATTGGTTGTTTTTTTAAATGGGTTACAGGACTTATCTGAAATCTACTGGTCTATTTAGATTAGAGAAAAAGTACTAGAGGAATTAGAGTTGTGGATAAATGGTGTTGATGATGAAAATGTTGGAAGCTATTTTCATATTTTTTTTAAAAAAATGGAAAATTTCAGCTGACAGTAAACAAATAGAATTTCTGCTTAGTGGTCAATACATGGGCCCAGTACCAAGTTTTTCTTGTGGAACTGTAATGTCTCTGAAGGAACAAACATTATATACCTCATTGAATCTCTACCACCATTGCCCAAATTAGGGCCTGTGTCTTCTTCATCTGAATAAATGGCTATGCAAATAGCTTGGAACTGTTAGAATCCCTGTGGAAGTAGGCTGGGAATTTGATAGAAGTTGAAGTTAGCTAGAGTTTGGAGCTTAGAGATTTAAGTACTGCCCATGAACCTATATGTAGAAAGTATTCACAAGTCCTATGGGATAGGTTACATGTACAAATATGTTGGTGTTTTATGGGTAACAGTTTATTTTTTTAATTTTTTTTAAAAGATTTTATTTATTCATTTGAGACACAGAGATACAGAGAGAGAGAGAGCACATGAGCAGGGGGAGAGGCAGAGGGAGAGGGAAAAGCAGGCTCCCTGCTGAGCCAGGAGCCCTATGTGGGGCTTGATGTGGGGCTCGATCCCAGGACCCCGGGACGATGACCCGAGCCGAAGGCAGACGCTTAACCATCTGAGCCTGGATAACACTTTAGTATCTGGAACACCAGTCTTCATGAACCATGGCCTCCTAGATTGAAGCCACAGTGGATCAAAATCATAGTTTCCAAAAATATGTCATGGTTAGAGTGGCAGGTGGTTATTACTTTATCACTCTGAACAGCCATATGGTCACCCCTGTGATCCCAGCTGAAGGATGATGAGATCCACAGAATCACAGATATGAAGGATATTTATTAAACATCTTCATTCAGTCATTCAGCGTTTATTGAGCAGCTACCATGGTCCAGGCAATGAGCTCCATGCTTGGGGATAGTGATAAACACATTGGAAGTTGTCCATGTCTTCATGGAATTTATAGCCCAGCAGGAGAGATCAAAGCCTTTATCATACCGGATTTCTGACAGTTTTAAGTACTAACAAAACCTGGCCTGCCAGCCCTAGAATGCTCTCAATTAGTAGGACTTCTTGCTCTTGCCTTCCGCTCCCTGAGACTTCTTTCCCTCCCAGGGGGCCTCCTGGCATCTCCTATACTTTCTGTAGGTACAAAACCTTCACTTAATCAGGATTGGGGCTCTGTTCAATAATGACAGGGCTGCTTTCTGTAGAAACACAGATCTTCCCACATTCATATGTGGGATCCAGAAGTGTTATCTGATACTTCAGTGTGCCCTTTCTTCCTGCATTTCCCTTTTTTATCCATGAGGTCCAAGTCTGAAATTCTATTTAAGGAAAACGACAGGCATATGCAAATGTACCTAATAACAATGATTAAGACTTAGATATATTGAAACAGACGTGAAAAAAAAGGGATTCAAAAATAAGTTCTATGTTTGGGGTATTGCAATTGTTTAATTTTCTGGGCTTTCCCTGTGTATATACAAGATCTGCCCTTAGAAGATGGGCTGTTATTTGTGGTATGTGCTGTGGAGTCTGAACCAGACATGTCCTTGTGGTTTCCATGGCAAAACTGTGTGTGTGTGTGTGTGTGTGTGTATTTCTTAACTAGACATTTTAGCATGTATGAATTGAGTCTTTAAGGAGTTGCAGACCACAAGCCTATGATTTCAGTATAGGAAGATCGTAAGTGAAGCCTGTTTATCTTAACAGATTGGTTCAGAGTTGCAAGAGACATTTGCTTTATGTTAACACCAGTCTAAAGAAAACATCTGAAGTAACGTTAAAAAAAAAATCTGCTTTCTACAGTAGTGAAGATGGATTCATTTTAAATGTAATAAAAGAGAAAGCCAGACGCTCATACTAGGAAGAAGAAATAGTTTAAAAGCTCTCTTCTTTAAATTGAACCGAGTAACTTCCCTGGGCTGTGTCAGAAAGCCAGGTAATGGATCAACACAATCCGAGAACTGTCCTGCAGCACAGGCTTGAGATTGGTGGAGAGAGTTGGAGAGAAAGGACAGAAAGAGAGAGAGGTCAACTGCAGCATTCCTTACACGCCCTGTTTCTTTGTCCTGTGAAAATATTGTACGTGCACAGTGCGTAAAAGGCTATAATTCACTCGGGGAGCTCTGCCCATGACATAAACACTCACGGTTTATGAACAGCAGTAGAGCCCGTTGAGTGGAGTCAGCTGTTTATTCCCTCCTCTAGAGCAAAATTCTAAACATGTGACCTCAGAAGGACACTTTCTGGCACTGACCAGAGCTTTTCCTAGGACATGTGCTTCTTGCTCGTGGCTGTCCAGCAAATTCTGTCCTCACAAGTGAAATGGCCTCTACTGGGTGATCATAGGCTTTGGGGTCACGCAATCCCATGCTCAGCTCCTATCACAAGTTCTAATCGAATAAGCTCTGTGGCCTTGGGCAGGGCTATTAACCTTTCTGAACTTGATCCTGTAAAACAAGACTGTACTCCTCCCTATTGGATGGGCTTGATCTGAAGGGTCAGTGAATGGACATATGGAAGACTCTTGTGTTTAGCTTCTGCTTTGTTCCACAGTGCCTTTGCTCACTCCTTCTTCCCACCCTGTTTCTGCCCTTTCAGATCCTTCAGCATTCTTCCCTCCGGTTTTCTCCATGCATGCTAACATGCAGGCAACTTCTTCCCCTCTGCCTAGTCCCAGATCTTCCTCAGCTTACAAAAGGGTTATGTACCTATAAACCCATCGTGAATTGAAAATGTCATTTGTAAACTGAAAATGAATTTATTACACCTAACCTATCCAACATCATAACTTAACGTGGCACTACCTTCAGTGTGCACAGGACACTTAACTTTAGCCACAGTTGGGCAACATCATCTAACATAAAGCTTATTTCACAATACAGTGTTGAATAGCTCACATAATTTACTGAACAGTACTGAAAGTGAAAGAGAGCATGGTTGTATGAGGACAGAATGGTTGTAAGCGTATCAATTGTTCACCTTCCTGATCGTGTGGCGGACTGGGAGCTAGCTGCAGTTTGCTGGCACTGCCCAGCACCTCAAGAATTCTGCCACGTAGCCCGGGAAGAGCTCAAAATTCAAAAGTACGGTTTCTACTGAATGCATGTCACTTTTGCATCATTGTAAAGTCAACAAATTAAGTGGAACCGTTGTAAGTCAAGGACCAGGTGTGCTGCTTTGAAATCTCTTTTGTATTATTTTTTTTTGTATCTTTGTATTGTTTCATTTCCTTAATCAAATTTTGAGTTCTTTGAAGGCAGGGACTTTGCATATCTATCTTTTTAAAGATATTTATTGCAGTGTAATTCACATATGATAAAGTGGACAGATTTCAATATATCTTTTGATGGAGTTTTGACAAAGTTACCTTCTACCTTTTCCAGTTAGTCTCCTCATCCCCAGGACAGACACTGTCCCATGTCTTAGTTTTTCCTTTTCTAGATACTTCTTATAAATGGAATAATACAGATTGTATGCTTTTGTGTCTTTTGTAGTCAGCATAATTATTTTAGATTTATCTGTAATGGTATTCCTTTTTTACTGCTGAGGAATTTCCATTATAGGAATATACCATAATTTATTAATGCATTCATCTGCATATATATATTTAGGTTGTTTCCAGTTTGGGGACTTTATGAAATGAGCTGCTAAAAACGTTCTCATATGAACCTTTTTATAGACATACAGTTTCAATTCTGTGAGTAAATAACTGGGAAGGGGGAGTATGTGTATGATTAACTTTATAAGAAACCGACAGATTTTTTCTGAAGTCTTTATACCAGCTTACACTCCCACTGGCCAAATACAGGGTTCCATTTGTTCCATATCCTCCCTGACACTTGGTATTGTCAGTCTTTTAATTTTAGCTATTTCAGAGGGGATGAAAGGAGATCTCATTGTGTTTTTTAATCTTAATTTCTTGATGATTAATGATGTTGATCATCTTTTCATGTGCTTATTGGTATATCTTCTTTTAAAAAGTGTCCGTTCAAATTTTGCCTATTTTTAATTGGGTTGGTTTTTTTTATCATTGAGTTTCAAGAGTTATTTATATATTTGTCAGATTTATGCATTACAAGTATTTTCTCCTAATCTGTGGCTTGCCTTTTCATTTTCTTAACAGTGTCTTTTGATGAGCAGAAAATTTTTATTTTTAATGAAATTGATTTTATTAGTGTTTTCTTTTTATGTTAATGCTTTTGTAGCCTCATACATATTTGCTTACCACAAGGTTATGAAGAAATTGTTCTATGTTTGTTTTACAAGCTTTCATTTTGGTTTGGCGTTTAGGTCTCTGATCCATCTCAAATTAATTTTTGTGGATGGTATGAGATGGAAGCTGAAGTTGTTTACATATATCCAGGTATTTCAGCAACATGTGTTGAAAAAAAGGTTTTTTTCTCTGTTGAATTACCTTCATGCTTTTGTCAAAATAAAGTGACTATATATGAGTGGGTCTATTTCTGGATACTCTGTTCTGTTTCATTGGTCTATTTTTCTCTTGGTCTACTAATACCAATATTTCTTAAAGTCAGGAAATGTAAATTCTTCATCTTTGTTCTTTTTGAAGATTGTTTTG